CTTTTTACTTTCTTTTTTTTTGTGCTTTTTGCTTTTTATTTGTCGGACCTCATATAAAAACCTCTTTTGAAGTTCAGAAATTCATTCTTCTGCTTGTTCTAGTCTATTGCCAACGTTCTCAGTTGTTTTTATTTTATGTATTGAATTCTCAGTTCCAGGATTTCTGTTTGGTTCCTTTTAATGCTATCTTTTTCATTGGTGAATTTATTTGGATCATAAATTGTTTTCCTGATCTCTTTGTATTTTCTATCTTTCCTATCAGGAATCTTTCCTGGTTCCTTTACATTATTCTGTATCTCACTATGTTTCCTTAAGCTCACTGTTTTGAATTTTATAGGCTTCCTTTTCTTTGGGATCTGTCACTGGAGAATTACCGTGTTCCTTTGGAGGTGTCTTGTTTCTGTGATTTTTCATGCTTCTTGTGTCCTCAATGTTGGTAACTGTGCAGCTGGTGTAACAGTCACTTCATCTAGTTTTAGGAGTTGACTTTTTTCTGTAGATGTATCTATGTTGTTGGTTAAGTATGGTGCTCTGGCATTGATGATGGGTGGGTGCATTGGTGTAGTCTCCATACACTTATGCTTTCTTCTGCTGTAATCAGCATCCGTATCTGTAAGTTCCTCAGTGGCTTATGGTGTGGTTGTTAGTCATGGGAGATGCTGTGTGAGGTCTTGATGGTGATGGGGAAGATAGCAGGCCAGTCCTCGGGCACATTGGTGGCACACACAAAGTACTAGTACCGGCAGCACTAGGCCAGGCTTGCCAGTTTTTGTTGGCAATGGAGTGCCTGAGTGGGCTGGCTCTTTGGCTTCCAGGTGGTGTGTGCTGGGATCAGAGTGGCAGTAATGGGCCAGCCCAAAGGACCTTGGTGACACTTGTGGCACCGGAGATGACAGTAGCAGCTGGGGCCCAACCTTGGATTCTTTGGTCGCATGCATGGGCACTGGTAGTGATGAAAGCAAGCTGTGTGGGCATGTCTCCCTGGCCCTCTATGAGGAACATTTAGGGGGGTTCCTCTGGCAGTGTGTGGAGCAGGCTTGTCCACAGGCTCACTGAAGACCCGCGCAAGAGCCTTTGTCAGTGGCTGTTGAGGCAGCCCTGTCTTCATGCTCCTGGCCGGCATGTGCAGGTACCGGTGGGGCAGTGGGACTGTCCTTGGTGGTAGTGGTAGACGGGGCCTGGGTAAATGCACGCAGGCCTGGGTGGGGCGGGCTGCTTCTTAGAGCCCTGGACAGTGTATGGGCGCACTGGCAGCAACAACAGCAGCAGCAAGCAAAGCGACCTTGTCTTCAGGCTTTCATATGGCTCACACGGGCACCAGCCCTGGTGGGTTTGGCAGGCTTGATCTCAGGCTCCAGCATGGTACACTCGAGTGGGCCAGTCCTCAGGGCTCCTAAAGGTATACACAGGTATGCACAGCACTGCCACTGAAGAGGGCAGGCCTGCTATTGGTGGCAGTGGTGGCAGTCAGGTGGCTCCCAGGCTCTGGAGAGCACCCACTTAGGATCCCTTTGACCTAGAGTAGTTTCCCTGGTAGGCTATTAGGTGACCACCTGTTTCCACAAGTATAGGGTGCTGTGGGGCAAGGGATTTGGGGGAGTCTGTCCTGGCTTTGAGATAATCCTGGCTGGGCTGGCTACCTCAGTTCTCTTTCCTTCTGTCTTCAGAGGATCCCCATCAATTTCCTGGTGAATTCCAGTGTGTTCTCTTTGATGTTTCCTCAAGTTATGTTTACCTACCTGCTGTTTTGGTTTTTCTTTTTGAAGGAGGTGAGTGCTGGGTGTTCTCAGTCAGCCTTCTCGATGATGTCTCTGTGCTGTGCATATTAAGGAAGGTATAGCCATGTTTTAAAACATGCACAATCGACCCTATAATTTTAAAATTTTCTACCACTTGAAAAACACACGCATTTCTAATTATTACCTCCCACCCCGCACACACACATCGCAGTTAATATGGCAGCAGGTTCAGGCTTGAAGCGCAATATCCTGTCTTTACCACGTCTGGTAGGGATTCGCCCTGGGGTTGTAGTTTCTATGGTATAACCCCTGAGTGCATTTCTTGTCAACGCAAAGACTTAAGAACCAAAGACGCAAGTTATCTACCACTCCCCCACCCAGCATTCTCCTAAACTGCCATGGACCCTCCTATTGAGCAGAGAGAAAATGGGAGTCACGAAGGAAATACTAGACCATAGCGATTCTGAAATACAGCCTGTTGTGCACTTCTACTTCTTTGATTTGGACCTCATGGGAGCCATCCTCTGTGGCCCTTTACGGTACCTTCTTGGCTCTTTGTTATATCCTTTCTTAAGCAATGACCTGGGTTTTCAGCTAAGCACTTTTCTCAGCCAGCTTCCTCCCCATAGAACTTCTTAGGTTCTAAGGCCTCTTTTCATTTTTACTGTCTTGATGTCTTTTAATCCACGCTAGCAAGCATTGCTATTGTTACTATAGTTCTCTTAAATATTTAAGAGTGCTGTGAATTTTACTTGGGTTCTTGTCATTGGAAAAACCACATGTCCAGATCTCTCTGAGATAAGCACTTCACCTTGCACTTCCTGTGAGGCTGAGTAAGATAGAGCCTTCAGATGTTTAAACCCTTAAGACCTTTAAGGGAATTTGAGGAACCACCTGAAATCTTTCAGAAGTCTTAAGAAAGTGCCTTATAGTCACAGTCTTGGCTTTACCTTCTGATGGTGTTCTCTGGCAGCACCCTGGATTTGATTTTATCCCAGAGACCATTTATCTCAGCAATACAGGTGCTCCTCAAGTTAGGATGGGGTTATGTCTAGATGACATTTGCATTTGTTATGTAGTGTTATGTAGGATATTTGCAATTTATGGACCATTATAAATTGTAAATATCAGAATTTGTGGGTAGGTTTTCCATTTACCATAAATTCCATTTACAGTGACTTTATTCTTATGCGGCCACACCCTTAAGCTAAGAGGTATACTCAGCCCATATCATTTTCACAGTATTATAAAATGTCAGAAAATGTTGAATTGAACCATGCTAAGTCAAGGACTGTCTGTATTTGGGACTCTGATATGTGGAAAGGCTGTAAAAAGGACACAGATGCTTAAACCCAGAAAGTCCTGGTTCCTTTATATGCAGTAGTCTTTCTTTAGCTTGTCTCTTGTGTTGGTTTTACTTTCAGCAGCTGTGTAGTAACAGTGTCCTTTCCTTCGGGTCCGGTATCATTGTCTTCACTATCCTTAAAACCCTTCCTACCAGCCTCTTCGAGGACCATCAGGCTTCCACTCACAGTCACTTTAAAACTCCTTTTGTTTTCATGCTTATTCTTCTGTAGGTCCTTTTTTCTTCTGCTTAGCTCCTGGTCCAGTGGCAAACCTACATGTTTTAGTAGTTTTTGTTGTTATGCAATCTATATGTAGTGTCCCTATCTGTATCAGTTACTTCTTGGTATGTAACAAAATGTCGTGTCTCAAAACAACATCTGTTTTGTTCATAAGCTGCAGTTATAAGCAAGGCTCAGTGGGGCCAGCTCACTTTTTGTTTACTTGGCATCAGCTGAGGTGACCTAAAGCTAGGGACTAGAATCATCTAAAGGCTTGTTCATTCACCTTTGTGGCATTTGAAGCTGCTTTGGCGGGATGTTAGGTAGGGAAGACAACTCAAACACCTACCTACATGAGGATTCACCATGTGGTTTGGGCTTTCTCACAGCATGGTGGCTACATTTTAAGGACTAGAGTCCCTAGAGAAAGAGAGTCAGGTGGAAGCTGTATGACATTTTGTAACCCAACCTCAGAAGTCACACAGCAGTTCTGCCACATTATGTTCCCAAGAAACCAGTTATTAATGCCAGCTTGGATTCAGGAGAGGGAATGTCATGGGAGAAGTGGCAAGCAATTTGCAGATGTTTGGAAACCACCACTTCACTTACCTTTTTAAAATAAGAAAGCCATAGTCATTTCCTCTAAAGGAAAGCAGTTCTTTCCAACTCAGCACCACTGAAATTTCAGTGAGATTTTTTATTGTCATCGTTTAATGTGCTCTCTTATTTCATGTAAAGCAGCAATGAATTACAAGATTGTGCTACTAAATTAAGGCATTTTTATTCAGAAAAGTGGTATGGATCATGCCATTCAACTTTTATACTGGAGATGTGATTGCTTCTTAACTCCAAGTATCATTACTCCTTGAAATGTAATTCACATTAACTTAAGACACTTGCAGTTCAGCAAGAGGCTTGTGGTGCTGGAATCCACTTTTTTCCAAGATTTATTAGAGTCTTATTTTCAGAGTCTTATTATGGGAGCCATTTCTTGACTGAGGCCCAAATAATTTAATATGATGCCCCTAAAACTTCCATGCAAATTACGGAGAATGACAGTGGGTTAAAGGCATAAGAGACTTGTGCTAAGGGGGTGACTTAGAGCCATTTTAAGGAGGAAAGCCGTGGAATGATCATAAAAAAACAGAAGTCTGAGATCAAATCCAAATGTTATGTGGAAAAAACGATGAAAGTAAAGGATATATTTTTGTGAATTCTTGTGGTTTTAACTTTGTTTTTAATTTTCTGAGTAATCCAAGGGTCTGTTTTTTATGAATCTACAACAGTATAGGTAATATTTTATTGCAACTGAATTCATTTCAAAAATGATTAGTTTTATGTTAGACCATTCTCAGTGTACTTCCTTTTATCTTTTTTATTTTCTGCCCATGCTCGAGTGCACTGGCACTGTCTCTGGTCACTGCAACCTCCACCTCCCCGATTCAAGCCATTCTCCTGCCTCGGCCTCCTGAGTAGCTGGGATTACAGGCACCCACCACCACACCCAGCTTATTTTTGTGCTTTTAGTAGAGATGGGGTTTTGCCATTGTTGGCCAGGCTTGTCTCTAACTCCTGACCTCAGGTGATCCATCCGCTTCGTCCTCCCAAACTGCTGGGATTACAGGTGTGAGCCACCACACCCGGCCTCTGTCTACCTCCGTCATTACCAAACTATATTGTTTTTTCACTCATGCAGGATGACCTTACAGAAGCACAGGAAACTGCACAATCACAATGTCTACATGTGGACCCAGTGATTCTTCTTCAGCAGACACTATTCTCTACGACAGCATTAAGAAAGAAATATAAAACACTACAGAAAGAAAATATGCAGCTGAAACAGGAAATTATAAGTCTCAAAAGTAATAATGAGAGAAATACGTTAAAACGTGGTGAAGCTGAACGGTATGAAGTGCTGATTGAAGGAAGATCAGGACAGAAGATAGTAGAAAAGTTAAACGAAATGCATCTCCTCTTGCAGGTTGGTTTATTTATCTGTAATGTGCTTTCATTCATTTCGCTGCAAATTCAATTTTGGATATATCCATCGTATATGTTTTCTCGACTTTTCTTACAGCAGTTTGTTTGGCAGGCTTCTAGAAGGAAGGTGATATCTGTTTCTCCCTTTAAATATTTTAGTTTCCATCATTCTTACAACTAAATTGATCTGCCATCGTAATAATTCTCACTAGAAAATCATTGATTACTAAGGCCAGTATGCATAAAAGACTAATATAAAAAATAAAAAAAATTGTGATTGAGAAATTATACCATACTCTTGAACTGCTTTTAAGTTACATTGTTCCATTTTTAAATTTTTAACTTGTTTCTGTCATTCTTTGGAGAATTGTTGTACAACTCAGACTCAATTATTAATTCAGTTGATGCTGATGATAAATATGTTAAGCTTGAGCTTCTTTCTTTCTTCACAGACTTAAAATTGTTCTCTGAATAACTGACTCCAAACAAAAGGAAACAAATGCACAGTAATTATTCAGGTTATAATTACTTTAAAAATGTTCCCTTTTAATTTATTTTAGGCTCAAGCAGCATCTCTAGAAAAGTTTCTGCAAAGGCTGAATGATTTTGCTTCAGAAGGAGCTCAGATGTAACTGAAAATCCAAGATCTGGAATCTGAACTCTCCAGAATAAAAACTTTGCAAGCTGCTGCTAATAAAACAGAATTACAAAGGTTTCAGGAACTCTACCTAAAAGAAGCAAAAGCTGTAAGATCCTTGTCAAAAGAACTGAGAAGGTAAGTCAGTATACAGAATCATAGCAAATAAGCTCATTAATTTGCCTTCCAAAGCATAATTTGTAGTGAGACAGGTTCATGAGATTTGCGGGAAGTGAAAGCTAACTAGATTGTACAATTTTTGAATATTGTAAATTATAAATAGTAGATGAACTTAACCTTCAAGTAAAATTGAAAATAGTAAATGAGCTTAACCTTTAAAATCTTAGTCCGGGACAGTTCATGTCGCTCCTGTGTTTTGGTTTTACGTGGCTTCCCCCAACCCCTTAATATTCTTGTATAGTTAATCTGATCTGTTAGGGTTTCAGCTAAATATTTGTGAAGCTTCATAATTTAGACAGTGATATCATGATAAAAATGTCAGTATTCCCTTAATTCAAAATATTAACGAATTTAATTAATTTTTGGAAGATGACAGCTGAAAACCTTGGGCCAAGTATGACTACTCTGGACACATTCTGGCACTTAGTAAATTCACTTTGCTTGATTATGAACATTAGAGGCGCCTTGAGAAGAAGTGTCCTGCAAAGCTTTTCCGCTCCACGTCAAGACACACTTGTGAAGTACAGAATGATTAACGTAGGGTTGAAGGGACGGATCACTTACTAAGTGATTAAAAAAAAAAAGCACCTCAGTCAGCCTGAGGGGGTGTGTGGAAGACAGAAAGGGCAGGCCCCACCTCTGATTCGTGGGCCACAGTGTTAGGAGCTGATTGTCGTAGGTGCTGCTCTAGCTCTCTTTGATCTCAGCTGTCTTGTTCTCCCCTAGGAAAAGTCTCCTTGAATGATTCCTCAATGCCAAATGCTCAATTTTTTCCAGATAATGGGTGAAATGTACAAGGGCAGTAAAAACAATTGTTTGAAAATGTCTTTGACTGATAGTTTTTTAAAAATCTCTAACTAGTTTACTAAATACAAGTATTTCTAGCTTTTATTTTTTTCTTTTAGCTTTTTAATTGTATGTATTTAAAGAGTACAACATGATTTATTGTATATAATTAAGGAGTACAACATGATTTCTAGGGGGATTTCCAACAAACAAGTAGTTGTTCCCTCTAGAAATATATGTACTTCTTTAGAACAATGTTAAAGCTGTAATTCGATACAGTAGGCGTGCTCTAACACATTTTCAGAGTTAAAATGTGGCTTATAGTATATTCCATCTACTCTTATGGCAACTTTTAGAACACTTGAAGTCATTTAGGAAAAAATGAAATACTAAGCATTTGTCTTTTGCAATCTTCACAGAACCAATGAGATGATAGCAGAGGTCAGTACCCAGCTTACTGTGGAGACGGAGAAGACCAGATATCCAGCCACTGCTTCTCCTACAAGGTCAGTCCTCGAGTCACCTTCTGTGGGAAATCTTAATGATAGTGAAGGTCTCAACAGAAAACATATTCAAAGAAAAAGCTTTCTAAAACTATAAACCCAAGACCCTTTCATATGTGATTTCTAAAGCTGTAAACCTAAGACCCTTTTACTTGTAATTTCTAAGGCTGTAAACCTAAGATTCTTTCATGTGTAATATCTAGAGTATAAGCCTATATAAAGGCAGAGCTTCCCTTTGTTAGGAGAGTGTGGTCATGTAGACACATTGTCGCCTGGCTCCAGGCCGTAATAATAATAATAATAATCACCTCTTCCTTCGCAGTTTGGTGTTCGAGGGATCTGTTTCTCGAGGCCAATCCTGCTTCAATCTCAGGTTTTCTACCCCTCATCATATGTGAATGATTGGTATCCACACACTAACCACACATGGATGTTTATTATTTAAAAGATCCAATGTGAATACTTTTAATACGTAGTATAAACCTGCAACACTTGATTAATCTCTATTCTTTAAAAGTTTTGTGATTTTCTTACATGAGTACACCTGTAATTGCTATTGGTCTTACAGCGTTTTAATCTCCATTTTTGTAAAATGTTTCTATTGCTATGCAATTGTACAGTGATTCTGAAATAAACAAATATCTGAATTTTTAAAGTAAAGCTCAGTTACGTCTCTGTAGCCATAACTTGATGACTAAGATGGCAGTGATGTCTAGAGTCCTTCAGTAGCAAATGTGACCAAACAGAATCAATTCTATTCTTTCTACCCCAAATTCCATGTAAAGCTGCACATGGACATCTCTGGACCGGTAACAGGAACCTTTTAGTTCAACCATGTGGTTTTGTGACATGGTAAAAGCCCTATAAAACTGCATACCTCAACCATACCTCGGCTTTCTGTTGAAACTGCTCTCTGTAACCCAAATGTGACAGGCAAGCAGTCCAAACCCAAGCCATCTCGGCCCCTGCGACTTGTAATTTCCACCCTACGCAGACAATGTGTAAACAAATGCTTATCTTGACTTTTGTGAACAGCTTAAGTAACAATCAGAATGTCAAAAGTCCCCTGGCCCTCGGAATGTCCGGAGCCCCTCACCCTCATCTCCACCCAGGAGGTGATTTACAGAATCTACTAGCCCTCAGAATGTCTGAAGCCCCTCACCCTCACTCCCAAGGTGGTTGTACAGGTATAAAAGGTCTTGACACCCTTCTTTTGGGGCCACAGGTCGGAGAGACGTGAGTCCTCCATGGCTGCCGGCAATAAAGACCCTGCAATCTGGCATACTTTTGTCTTGGTGTTGACTTAATGCTCGCTCCACTACAACAGTTTCACTCAGAGTAAGTCTGTTTCTGGGGATTTCAAAATGGATCCAAGAATGACAAGCTGTGTCAATTATAGAATTGGTAAAGGAAAAAAAAAAAAAGTTCAGCTATGTTTAACTCAGATTAGAGTATTTGTCTAACATTTGTCCATTTTTCAACTGGTGGAAAATTATAAAAGCTGGGCACAGTGGCACACACCTGTAATCCCAGCTACACCTGAGGCTGAGGGCAGACAGATCACTTGAGCCCAGGAGTTCAAGGCTTCAGTGTGTAATGATTGTTCTGTAGCACTGTAGCACTCCAGCCAGGGCAATATAGCAAGATTCTGCCTCTTATTAAAATTACAAAATCCATAAAACATTTGTATGAACAAAAATAAATAAATAGTTTTCTTTGTGTATATTTTTAATTTTTTAAATTTCAGTCAATGCACATTGGCTTATAGTTTCAGTGGTTTTGTTGTTGTTATTTTGTTTTTTGGCTTTTGTTTTGGTTTTGTTTTGTTTTGTTTATAAGACGGAGTTTTACCATGTTGGTTAGGCTGGTCTTGAACTCCTAACCTCAGGTGATCCGCCCACCTTGGCCTCCAAAGTGTCTGGAATACAGGTGTGAGCCACATCATGCAGCCTATTCTGTTTTTGTTTTTTTTTTGAGATGGAGTCTTGCTCTGTCGCCCAGGGTGGAGTGCACTGGTGCAATCTTGGCTCACTGCAACCTCTGCCTCCTGGGTTCAAGCGAGTCTCCTGCCTTGCCTCCCAAGCAGCTGGGATTATAGGTGTGCACCACCACACCCAGCTAATTTTTGTATTTTTAGTGGAGATGGGGTTTCACTATATTGGCCAGGTTGGCCTTAAACTCCTGACCTCGTGATCTGCCTGCCTCAGCCTCCCAGAGTCCAGGGATTACAGGTGTGAGCCACCATGCCTGGCTTAGTTTTGGTGTTTTTATGATCTCCTTAATGCACAGAAAATTAGCATAGGCCCACATGGAATGAGGCCTCAACCTTGTGTTTACCTGGCTATTTCATGTCCTAACATATCACAGAAGAGCAAATCTGTGGTTTCTTAGACAGCATTGCAGCCAAATAGCTTAAAAGGCAATGCATTAANCACGGTGAATATCTGCCTCAGATATTGGGCAGTTTATATCATTACCACGGTGTGACATTAGTACTAGCAACAGTAATTTTCAGTTGGGCAACTCCACAAAATTCATAAAATATTTGTATGAACAAAAATAAATAGTTTTCTTTGTGTATATTTTTATTTTTTTTAATTTCAGTCAATGCACATTGGCTTATAGTTTCAGTGGTTTTGTTGTTATTTTGTTTTTTGGGTTTTATTTTGTTTTGTTTTGTTTATAAGACGGGGTTTCACCATGTTGGTCAGGCTGGTCATGAACCCCTGACCTCAGGTGATCCGCCCCGCCTTGGCCTCCAAAGTGCTTGGATTACAGGTGTGAGCCACTACATCCAGCCTATTGGGTTTTTTTTGTTTTGAGATGGAGTCTTGCTCTGTCACCGAGGGTGGGGTGCAGTGGTGCAATCTTGGCTCACTGCAACCTCTGCCTCTTGGGTTCAAGCGATTCTCCTGCCTCAGCCTCCCAAGCAGCTGGGATTATAGGCATGCACCACCACCAAACCCAGCTAATTTTTATATTTTTAATGGAGATGGGGTTTCACTATATTGGCCAGGTTGGTCTTGAACTCCTGCCTCAGCCTCCCAAAGTCCAAGGATTACAGGCGTGAGCCACCATGCCTGGCTTAGTTTTGGTGTTTTTATGATATCCTTAATGCACAGAAAATTAGCATAGGCCCACATGGAATGAGGCCTCGACCTTGTTGTGTTTACCTGGCTATTTCATGTCCTAATATATCACAGAAGAGCAAATCTGTGGTTTCTTAGACAGCATTGCAGCCAAATAGCTTAAAAGGCAATGCATTAAATTATTGTTTTAATACATAGATTTCAGGAGCTCAGCTAGCTGAGATTTTTAATCGTATTGTCCGCTTAGGTTTTATTTTTCTGAAAAAAAAAGTAAGATGATTAGCATCCAAATGCTTCAGTCATGAAATTGTACCACTGGGTACAAAAGGAAAATCAATGTTAAATATGTCTGTAAATTGTTAAGCATGATGCAAATATAATGTTCTCATTAGTACTGTGAACCCCCAAAATTTGAGACAGGCCTCAGTTAATTGAGAAAGTTTGTTTTGCCAAAGTTGAGGACACATGCCATGACGCAGCCTCAGGAAATCCTGATGACATGTATCCAGGGTGGTCGGGGCACATCTTGGTTTTATACATTTTAGGGAGACAGGAGACATCAATTAATATATGTGAGAAGTACATTGGTTCAGTCTGGAAAGGTGGGACAACTTGAAGTCAAGGGAGGAAGACTGGAAGTTGGGAGGGGGCTTCCTTCCAGATAGGTGAGAGACAGTGGCATTCTTTTGAGTTTCCGATTTGCCTTTCCAAAGGAGACAGGCAGATATGCATTTATCTCAGTGAGCAGAGAAAGAACTTTGAATAGAATAGGAGGCAGGTTTTTTTTTTTTTTTTTGGGACGGAGTTTCGCTCTTGTTACCCAGGCTGGAGTGCAATGGCGCGATCTCGGCTTACCGCAGGGAGGCAGGTTTTTGCTAAGCAATTTCCAGCTTGAGTTTTCCTTTTAGCTAAGTTAATTTGGGTCCCAAGATATTTTTTCTTTTCACAGTACTTACCAGAAAAATGAGGTAATGTATCATTTTACAAGATGGTGATGAGAGAGTATAAAAAGCAGACCTGATGCAAGGGAAGATTTTTGAGGAATGATTTTTTCTTAATTTTTTGTGGGGGCCTTTCACTGGCCAGGAAAAAACTGGAGTCATCAATACTCAAGACCCCTTTCCTAAGCTTTTGGGTCCCAGAGGCACTCCCTCCCTATGTCCTGGATCTGTCCCTTTTCCCTCTGCTTTCACAGCTGACCTGGGATGTCTTTCCCAAAGGCAGTTGCCCTCCACTGTCATTTATGTGGCGAAATAGTCAAGGGTCAGGGAAAGGCTGGAAGAGAATTGGTGCAGGGGGAAGCCACTCCGGGAGTGGAAAGGGGCAGAGACTTCTACCATGTACTCTTATTTATAAGAGTTTGAAGAGAAAATGACCTGTATTTAAAGTTGTCATACAAAAAGTATTCTCTCTCTACAGAGTTACGATTTCTTCAGTATAAAAGTAAGCAATTTGTTAAGGAGAATATCTCATTTTTATGTTAACAAAATTGAAGAAGTACGAAAGCATTTGTGAATGGGGTAGAAAGAAATAATAAAATCTATTACACTGGTAATATTTAGCAGAAGAGTTTTTGGGAGAAAAGATAACTTTACAGTAGTAGTGTCTTAGTTTGAGTCATGTAAAAATGTACTTTTACATAGTGCTTATGAGTGGCAATATCTAGGGGTTCTTTGAAGAAAGGCTTCCCCCTTTATCTGGTATCAAGTTACTTCTTTTATGATGCCTGGCTGGTAATGCTGTTGTCATGTTGTTATACCAGAGCGAGAATAGAAAGTTAACACCAAGACAAAAGTATGCCAAATTGCAGGGTCTTTATTGCCGGCGGCCACGGAGGAGGACTCACGTCTCTTCAACCTGTGGCCCCGAAAGGAGGGTGTCAAGACCTTTTATGCCCGTAAACCACCTCCTGGGTAGGGATGGGGGCAAGGGGCTTTGGATGTTCCAAGAACTAGTGGACTTTGGACATTCTGTAAACTACCTCCTGGGTAGGGGTGAGGGTGAGGGGCTTCGGACATTCCGATTGTTACTTAAGTGGTTCACAGAAGTTAAGCGTTAGTTTACACACTGTCTGGGTAGGGTGGAAATTACAGACCTTAGTTACTTATTACAAGTCTCAGGGGCCCACATGGCGTGAGTTTGGACTGCTTGCCTGTCACATCAGGGTTACAGAGAGCAGTTTCAACAGAAAGCTGAGGTTGTAGTTGAGGTATGCAGTTTTATGGGGCTTTTACCATGTCACAATGTTACTTACTCTATAAAGCCTATTTATAATGTTTTTGTCACAGAAATGTTATGGAAAGGAGGCTCAAAATATTGGTGAACCTGTTAGTGAAAGAAAAAATTGACACCTAAAATTTGTAAAGGCATGAGATATCATTATCATTCTTGCCACAAACCATCTCAGACCCTGTCTGGGCCTTTAGTGAGAGAGTGCCTATTCTACAAAAGATTTAAATGAGAGCACTCTAGATAGAAACACTGACAGTAAGTTAGAAATATTCCCACACCTTTCATAATTAAGTAGATAACTATAACTTGTCAGATGCTTCAAAAATGGGTACTAATTTCTGAAAAGAAATCAAAGTTGCGAAATCAAAGTTGCAGTTAAATAACAATATTGTTTTCCTAGTTTCTAATTCTAGACACACATGATTCAATGAAAGTAAGATTGAAAACTGGCTCTAACCTATTTTTATTCTTGTTTTCATGGAAATTTTCGTGTCCATATGAATAAAGAAATGTTAACCATAATAGTATTTTTAATAAATTTTTTTTTTTTTTTTTTTTGAGACAGAGTTTCGCTCTTGTTACCCAGGCTGGAGTGCAATGGCGCGATCTCGGCTCACCGCAACCTCCGCCTCCTGGGTTCAGGCAATTCTCCTGCCTCAACCTCCTGAGTAGCTGGGATTACAGGCACGCGCCACCATGCCCAGCTAATGTTTTGTATTTTTAGTAGAGACGGGGTTTCACCATGTTGACCAGGATGGTCTCGATCTCTTGACCTCGTGATCCACCCGCCTCGGCCTCCCAAAGTGCTGGGATTACAGGCTTGAGCCACCGCGCCCGGCTAAATATTTTTAATAAATATTTTAATAAATATGAATAAATTTTTAATAAATATTTTTAATCTTTTGCCAGTGGAATATATTCACATGCCATCACAACAACACTGCTTTCTTCAAGTGTGTATTAAAGATCCTGTGCTGAATTAATAGTAAAGAACATACGTTAAAATTATTATTTTATACAAGTGGAGAATGGCGAGTTCATTTTAAGGAACTATTCATTAAAGTGAAAAACTGATTAGACTTTTATAAAGGGCAGAGTTTTGATAAGAATGGGAAAGTAATGCACTCATTGCAAAATATGAGTTGAACTGTTTAACCTCTGTACTAATAAGGGAAAACCTCACACGTTTGAAATGACATTGTCAAACAGACCAATATTAATTGTGCTTTTATGAGATTAAACAGCATAACACATATATGTTCTCCTTTATCTAAACTTAAAATACGAATTTATGTGATTTTTTTTTTTTTAAGCAATCTTCAAGTTAGGTCTAGTCTCTGAAAGTATTATTTAAAGGCCACATTTTGTAATTGATACTTCTTACCATAAAAGGTCTCTTCTTAAACATTATAAATAACATTTGACTTATTTCAGATGCAGCAGAAGTTGGAAAATGATATGCCTATAGGAGCAGCAGGTACGTAACCAAAAAAAATTTTTTTTTCTGAGACAGTCTCTCACCCTATCGCCCAGGCTGGAGTGCAATGGCACGATCTCAGCTCACTGCAAACTCTGCTGCCCTGGTTCAAGCAATTCTCTTACCTCAGCCTCCCAAGTAGCTGGGATTACAGGCACCTCCCACTATGCCCGGCCAGTTTTTGTATTTTTAGTAGAGACGGGGTTTCACCATCTTGGCCAGGCTGGTCTTGAACTCCTGACTTTGTGATCCACTCGCCTTGGCCTCCCAAAGTGCTGGGATTACAGGCATGAGCCACTGTGGCTGGCCATTACCAAAATTTATAAATTAGATTTAGATTAAGTAATATATGTGTGAAATAAACTGCAAATGGCATCCCTTTTCATTCTTTGGTTAATAGGTCCTACATTAAATATTTGAAAACTTGAACATGTATAATGAAGAGCATGTATAA